CCCCAAAACCCCAAAACCCCAAGCTTTAACTTAGCATTAGAATTGAGAAGAATTTAAAATATAAACATCTTAACCAAATTTAAATAATGTCACTAGCATTTTTAGATGGAGGTAAATAAGCCTCTGCTCAAGCCGCTCTTGCTATGCTAAACGATCCTGAAAAGGATATCCAAGTCTATGCTCTTCAAAAGTTGGATCATATCGTTCATTACGCTTGGCATGAAATAGCTGATCACGTCAGCAAAATGTAAGTATAATAGCCTCGCTATCCCCGCAACTTTATCAAGAGATTAACCAAAAATATAGAGAGGCATTTTTCGATGACAACACATTCCCTTAAAGAGAATTAGCAGCATCAATAGCATCTAAAGTATTCTATTACCTTGAAGCTTACGAGGAGTCATTGAGACTTGCTCTTGAAGCAGGGGATAAGTTCGATTTGAACTCATAAAATCAATACACAGAGACTTTGATTCACAAATGCATTGACAACTATATTGAAAGAAGAGTCTAAATTGTAGATCATAAAGCTGATGACTTATAAATTGACCCTAAAATGGAGAATGTAGTTAACAGAATGTTTGATAGATGCTTTAGAGACGGATGCTATAATCAAGCTATAGGTATCGCTCTAGAATCAAGAAGATTAGACAAAATTAAAGAGTCAATTGAAAGATCTAACGATGTTGAGGAAAAATTGGCTTACGCTTTTACTATTGCTCAAAATTAAGTAAGAATCAAATCTTTCAGAACTGAGATCCTCAGACTACTCTTGCTCATCTATGAGCAGAAGCAAGGTGGTAGATTTGACTACTACAAGATAGTAAAATGCCAATTTATCTTGAATATTCCAGAGGCAACTGGCATTTTATTGAAAAGAATTGTAGCGTCAGAAGATTTCCTAGTTGCTTATTAGATTGCCTTCGATATTCTAGATAATGAGAACTAATCATTTACCAAATAAGTGTCAGAGAATTTAACTGGAGGAGATGTAGATGATTTAGTCAGAACTAGAGTAGCTTAAATCTAATAAATCTTTACTGGTGAAGTGAGAGACAGACTTTATCTTTAATTCTTGAAGAAAAATAATCACACAGATATGCTGATTCTTACCAAGATCAAGGAAAAAATCGGGCAAAGAAACTCAATAACTCATGGATCATGTATTTGGGCTAATGGTATTATGAATGCATATACAACAAATGATAGCTTCCTTAGAGATAACCTTTAATGGGCTGCTATCGCTACAAACTGGAACAGATTCAATGCAACAGCTACTCTTGGTATGATTCATATGGGAAACAAGAAAGAAGCAATGGCAATCTTGAACCCCTATTTTACTGGTTCAGTAGCTGAAGGATAATCATCCTCTCCATACTCCACTGCTGGAGCATACTATGCATATGGTCTCATCAACGCCAACTAATACAATTAAGAGGTTGTTCAATATTTCCTAGATGGATTTAGAAACAGTGGTTAAAATGAAGCAATCTAGCATGGTATATGTTTAGGTCTTGGTTTAACAGCAATGGCCACAAAGAATGAGGCAATCTATACAGAGCTTAGAGATGTGCTCTTTAATAATGCAGATAGCGCAGTCATTGGTGAAGCCGCAGGATATAGTTTAGGTCTAGTTATGCTAGGCTCTGCTGATGATAATGCAATCTAAGAAATTATTACTCATGCTAATGATAGTAAACACGAAAAGATCATTAGATCTCTATCAATCTCTCTCGCTTTAATTATGTACGGCAAAGAGGACAACGCTGATGTCCTGATTGAGCAAATGGTAAGAAGCAAAGATTCAATCATGAGATATGGTGCTATGTTCGCTATTGGATGCGCTTATGCTGGCACAAACAACAATGATGCCGTTAAGAAACTTCTTCACTATGCAGTTTCAGATGTTAGTGATGACGTTAAAAGAGCAGCCTTAATGAATCTAGGATTCTTGCTTTTCCGCAAGCCAGAAAAAATTCCTGAACTTGTAAAGCAACTTGCTGAATCATACAATCCACATTTAAGATACGGAGCTGCTTTCGCAGTAGGAATCGGTTGCGCAGGTACTGGTCTTCATGAAGCCATTAAACTCTTAGCTCCACTAACTAATGATTAAGTAGATTTTGTAAGACAAGGTGCTTTGATAGCTCTTTCTATGGTTTTCATCCAAATTACAGAAGCCTAAGAGCCAAAGGTAGCAACTATTAAAAAACTATACACTAAGACTATTGAAGACAAACATGAAGAAATCCTCTCAAGAATGGGAGCAATTATTGCTTAAGGAATCATTAACTCTGCTGGTAGAAATGCCACAATCTCCCTTACCACAAGAGATGGAAGTCTAAGATAAAACGCAGTTGTTGGTCTAGTCCTATTCATGTAGCACTGGTACTGGTATCCACTTCTTAACTTTTTGTCTTTGTCCCTAACTCCAACAGCTTTGATTGGTGTGAGTGATAACCTCAAAGTACCAAAGTCATTCCACTTTACATCAAGTGCCAAGCCATCAACTTATAAGTATCCAGATTTCTTAAAAAGAGAAGAAGGCAAAGAGAAGGAGAAAGTTGAGACTGCTGTACTCTCAACTACAGCCAAGGTTAAGGCCAGAGCTGGAAGAAAGCAAAAAGCTGATGGAGCTCAAGATGCCCCAACATTAATAGATACTACCACCGCGAAAGCAGACGAAGAAATGTTGACCGAAGAGGAGAAGAAGAAAAAAGAGGAGGAGGAAAAGAAGGCTAAAGAACCAGAACCTGAATTCCAAGAGTTAAAGAACCCTTCAAGAATCCTAAAAGCTCAAGAAAAGAAGATCTTATACAAAGGTGATCAGAGATGGTATCCAGTACTTGAAAACAGATTCAGTGGGTTCGTAGTTCTTAGAGATCAACAACCAAATAGTGAGGAGAGGGAGTAATATTATGATGATGAAGAGAGGGATCCAAACGCTCCAAACCCCGACAAGCAAAGTGATCTCGATATCCCTGAGGAGTTCGAGTTCGACCCAGCTGTATAGAATGCTTAATGATTAAATATTTTGTGGTCAATTTAATTTACCTATAATAATCTATAAGAGTTAAATAATTAATTTTGAAGTATGGCAGGAGACGACTGTGATGAATATATCTGCTCTAATGGCAAAGATGAAAAATAACTTAAAGAGGTATTGAGCAAACAGCCAATGTCAAGTGGCTCGCTTGCATCTAAATATTAGGAATTTGTAGAGAGACCTCTAAATGCTATTCATTTAGGCAGATCAGCTTGGCCTTTATTGCATAGATTCACTTTGGGCTATCCAGAAAATCCAACTGATCAAAACAAGCAAAAGGCTCTATAGTTTATTTAGTCCTTCTCCAAGATTTACCCCTGCAAGGTCTGCGCATCTGACTTTTAAATAAAGATTAAAGATCACCCTCCAAAATTGGACAGCAGAAATGATTTGGTTATTTGGATGTGTGAATAGCATAACTTTGTGAATCAAAAACTAGGAAAAGAGCCTTTTAGATGCAATGTGCGAAGAATTGAATTAATTCACGGAGGCAGCCATAGAAAATCAGATAGCTGGAATATTCAGTGAGCAAGACTCACTTTATACTTGAATGTAATTAGGATTGATGAAATTAAGCTTAAATTTAATAAGAGTCTATTGCTATCAAATTAGTTATTTAATGTCTGGCTTGATAATTCTATAACTATGTCATTGAGATTGTTCAAGACTTCATGACATAGATATATTGTCTACTCTGGTCTACAAATGTTTTACCAATTTAAAGAGGACCTTATTCTTTTGTTTTCTGTATTAGGCTAGCAGAAAGCTAAGGATCTACTCCATTTACCTCTAAACTCATTCTTATGAAATCCTCCCTTACCCCTTTTCTCAAACTATATGGAATCAATATATTAATAATCTTACTTATCATAAATCCAATTTAGCCATTCCTAGGGGACTCTCCTGAGCATGTTATCATAAAAATCTTTGAAAGTAAGAAGTCCATCAGCATCACTATCATAACTCATGATATCATTTATTCTCTATTCAAGCATTCTGTCCTCCAGCTTTTCAGCCTTTAGTACTTTCTTGATACATTCCCTAGTGACTATTCCTCTTTGAATTTTGTGAATGTCGAATTTCTTAAACTCAGCTAGAACATTAAGCTCGCAAGCTTTTCTGAGTACTCTCATTGCTCTGAATTACTCGAATGAAATTGTGTAGTCCTCGCTGTCAGAAATATCTATTATCATTTACTTTAGCTCTTTCTAATAATAGGTAATTATTGAATAAACTTACATTGTTTGGGTGTAAATTGAGGGACTTGCAAATAACTTTGAGTTCATTAAGGTCAATTTTACTGTTTTTGTCAATATCGAATATATTAAAAATTCTCAAAGATTGTGCCATTGGCTCCGCGCTCTTAAACAATTCATCTTCAAGCATCTCATCTCTTGCTAAGGTGTCTTTCATGTCTTCATTATATATATCATTAATCTTAATAGTCTGTTCATATTTCTAAGGAGTCATCACATCTGGATCATGCGAAGCATCAATTTATATTTGCTAATTTTACCACCTGCCCTGGCTTTCCATTTTATCAATTTCTATTCAAAACGATTATTATCATGAAACTCATAAAATTTAATATTTTATTCTGCTGGGGTTTTGGGGTTTTGGGGTTTTGGGG